AACTTTGTTTCCAGGGATTGCACCCCACTTGTTGATCAGTGCTGAGAGGGCTTTCTGCAATTCAGACAGCCACTCCCAAAGGGGAAGGATTGGCAGAATATTGGGGTATGTGTCTGGTTCATGTTCATCAATTTCACTGAAATCAGAATCCAACTTGCTCTCCAGTGCCAAATCAAAGCTCTCTGTATCAGAGGGAACATTGGCATCACTGATAGTCATGTCCATAGTTGGTGATGATGGTTTAGTCTGTTTATGTGTGCATGATTTCTGCATGAGTATGTGAGTTTTGGGTTGAATAAAAAAGGACCTTCTGTGCATACAGCCCCAAATTACTTGTGCACTTGCATTTTTCCCCAGAGGCATGCTTAGAAGTCTGTTCTGCTGGGTTTTGGAGGGAAAAGGGTATGGGGAGAATTTCCTTTTTCATTCTCAGCAGTTGCCATCATTCATTTTGATGGTGTTTAGTGTGGCAAACTTGATGGAACTTCAATTTTTATTGTCACACCCTTGGATTAATAATGCTCATCTTTTGACACCAGAATGTAATTTACCCATTACTTGATCAATAGGATATTTATTGAAGAAGCAAATCCAAAGACTTGTTAAGGAATGTCTATCCTACAGGTTTTTGGTGCTCATTTGGGCAGCAGAGCATTGCACTGAGAATAAGAAGTGATGCAAGTTTTGAAATATTTGCATCTGGAGAGTTTGTTTGTTTGTTTGTTCTCTCTGGATATTTATTGTGCATGTACTACTCCCACTAAAGGGGCATGAAGGGCAGGCTGAGGCCCAAGGCATATTATCATACAATTTTTCTATTCTGAGCTCCACTGGATTCTATCGCCCTGGATAACACAAAGCCTGTTCACCCAGCCCAGGATTCACTGCTACACCTATAGTGGTAGACCCTATCATGAGACAATCATCTGTCCAGGAACATGATCCCCTATCTGACATTACTTGAAGAGGCCATTTTCAGGTACTGAATGGGGTAGATAGTCAGGTGATGTGAGCTTTTCTGTAATCAGCAGTGGAGAAGCTGGATCAGGTGATCATGAGATTGGCTCCTCAGCTTGTTGGCTGGATGCATAAACATGTGCCTCTTGAGACTTTGGAGAACCATGACCTCCCAGTGGGTGAGTCGAACCAATGTCCTCTCAATCGGCAAATTCCAGCAAGAGAGTGGTTGGCAGGTGTTACCACTATACCACCACTCCTCCCCCAGCATCCAGAGAGTCATTACTTATGTATGCTCCCTACCTTATCATTGGTTTTGCTAAAACAGGGTCTTGTCATATCCATCCACCACCACCACCTTCCATCACCTCTGGCCATCCCGGATTGCCTCCACTCCTCTGTCTCCAACCTCAGAGCCCCCAGATCCTGCAATCTCCTCTGACCCCCCTGACAGTCATCACCCTCCCATTTCAATATTGTCAGGGCACACACCCTGACTAGCCCAGACCCAGACCCACATCTGGACCCGCATCCGCCTGCTGTGCTTCCACATGCACACATGCTCCATGTGCCGCATGTTCCGGGCCTGGTTCCCACCCCCTCATGTGACTTCTGGGTATCCCTGGAAGTTTGCCTGATATTGTGGCCACTATGGGAAGATGAGAAGTTAGCTTCCTTCTCATCTCCTTACCCACAGTAGGTTGTGCCCTGGATAGGGCTGGTTACACCAGAGGCTGTGGACCATAGGGGAGGGTCATGGGGACCCGGGAGTCGTCCCCTGACAAATATACTACCTATGCCTCCCTAAGTATGGAACCCTGAAGGCTTCCAGACAGCTCCAATGTCTGCAAGTGCACCCCCACCTCCAACTTGGTCATTTAGTTGCCTACCCTGCAAGCCCACCTTTGGACCGATCCCTCCATTCCACTTCTGGGTTATAACCCGTTAACCCTGTAACCCAAGTTGTCAGTAGCATTCAGTTGGCTAACCCTTGACCACATTAGGTCAGCTCCATTCAGCCCCTGCCATTTACAGGCCTGCTGCCTAGACTCCCTATATACATAACCTGTAGTTACGATACACCTTAGTGAAAATATCGACTAGAGTTGATCCCCCTCTTCTAAGTTCCCTCAGTCCATAAATTAGGGCATCAACGTGATACTGGGCACAGCACTCCTGGTAGAGTCGCTGAGGCCATAGCTGTAAGGAGTTGTAACCCCACCCCTAAAGTGGAAAGAGCAACTTAGCCTTTTCCTCCCACAACTGTTGCAAATACAACTTCATACAAGTTAGTTTTGTTGACAACCTGAGGAACTAAGCTAACCAGGGTTGGCACCTACACCAACCCCTTACAATAGCCCTCCGATTACAGGGATGTCTTCGCTCATCCTGAATCCGGCCTCTGACAGGTCTATGTCATCTGTTGCAACAGGAGTGAATGTTGATTTCTTGTAGATCAAGTGCCATGCAGCCCATAGGATCATTGCAGACCCTTTTAAGTCTTATATATTTACTAGTCTGGTAGAACCAGATCCAAACAGGGGGACGTCTCCAGTACAGAACAGCCATTGGTAAGTGAATGTTAATCTTTCCCATGACATGTTGTAATAGGTGCATCCAGGATACTTCTGTTGTCGTTTCTCCCAAGGGCATTTAAAGGCCCTGTCTCTTTAATGCTGATGGGTTGGCCACATTAATATTGTTTACCATCATCGACAAGCTAGACATTTTGGAACAAGTACGATGACTGGAGTGGGCTCAAAAGCCGCCACTACAATGTCATCGTTTCTGCAGTACAAATGTGACATGGAAAAAGCATGCAGTAAATGACCGTGATCAGAATAATAACACCCCCCCATACAAACCAACAACTGTATCCCTGGACTTGCCCCATTGAGCAGTGCCTCCCGATAGCACGGAACTAAAATGACTATTGAGAGTCATTCCGAAATGTCATGTTGCCTTGATACCGAGAGACTCTGCCACTGAGCACCCCTTTTTGGGGTTATGCCTTTGTCCGGCTCTGCCACACGCTTTGATTTGATGTTGACCCCACTTACAGTAACCAGACCTGGGCTCTTCTGGTGTACCGTGTTGTACATCATGTTGAAACATTCAGATGCACCCGCTCCCGCTTAGCCGGGTGGCACCTTTCTATTCTGGCCACTCCTTTGCGCCCCCCCTTGTCGCGTTGGGGATTGTGCTCCGACGCTTTTTGCCTCCCAACTTTGTCCTCATCCCTTTGTGTTATCACCTATAAATGTAACGACGTTACACACTGCGGACATCATCTAACATATAGACGATTGTCCGCAGATTCCTTTACATCACACGAACCCGGCGAACATTTACCACAACACAACACAAAGCTCCAGTCGTGTCACGCATCTCACCCCGAAACTATCAGTTCTTGCATTGCTGCGACATGATTTACAACTGGTGTGGTGCTACATTCATCTTCCCCCTCCCCCCAAGGTATTCGAGACGCCGTCACTGGGGGTCCTTCATAAAGCCGCGTATGCGGACTTTTCAAACTTGGGTAGGGTGGACACGAATGCAATGATATCTTGTGCAAGCTCGTTAGGGCACTCAAGGGCCGCAAAGTGTCCTCCCTCCAGTGAATAAAGCATTTCAGTTAGTCTGAAAAGGATGTTACGTGCCAGATTCACCTTTTGATGTTCCCGCACAAACACAAGCTTTGTATTGTAAGCTAGCCAACCTGCAGGGAAGGATAGAATCTCCTTAGGGAAGATGGAGTATCCGAGGGGCTTATTGATGGGGATATAGGGTGGGGGGTCATCGGCTGCCAACTGTTATTTAGGGGAGTGTCAGATAGGATTATCTTCCAATTGCAACAGATTCTTCAAACTGACAGCCCTGTATGGGTAGAGACTAGTCGAGGCGCTACTGGTTACCCAGTACAGCGTCACCATCGCAAGAATGGTATCCAACGTCGGAGTTGAATCGGTCCATGCTAAGACTTTTTCGCCAATCCTAGGGCACAATACTCCCCGATCAGCAGCCCCAAGTGGGGACGTCGGATGCGGTGATGAGAACACTTACCAAGCCAACAAAGCGATAGGATTGCTGCTCAATACTTGACCAACGGTACTGGGCCGAGTACCTTGCTGGATTCCATACCCGTAGCCTGTCTTCATGAATTCCTGGGTCTTTCTAACTCTCTCTTGATCTGCAGGTGAAAGAGGTGGTTTCGTTGGGGGTTCTCCCCTAGTGACGAACATGTTGACTGCGAAGCAGGATCAGTATCACGTCCCAATTGGCGAGAATGACCCAAACTCACTGTGAACAGCTAGTCACACATCAAGCGATATTGCATGAGTGAAAATGAAGTACTTATATGTATCACATGAAAGGGTTACCTCTACAATTCTGAGCTCTCGATCCAATGATGCGCGCAACATGAGAGCCGATATCTCCACCTTGAACAACGTAGTCCCGGAAGCCTAGTCCAGTCACCAATTTGTCTACAATTCTCGCCATTCCTGAAACGGTGAGGTTGACGTGCGGGGGTGGGCCAGACGTCCAGCCATAACCGGGTAGAGAAGGCGCAATGATATGGAATGACGGGTATTTCGATTGCTGAAGGATAGGAATGATGTCAAGGAATTCCATGATCGATCCTAAAGACCTGCTTTAATACCCAGCAACACACATAGCAGTGTTACTTGCCTGGCCATCCGTGCAACAAAACCAGGGGAACAGCATTTGCCTCGGGAGAAGACACCAATGAAATGGACGTGATAAATAGTTCCATCATCGTCCGTAACGTCGACCTTCCAGTTAGGAGAAGCATTTATGCGCTTCTCGTGAGCCCTCCTGCGCCCGGGCGTGAGTGGTATGTCCATATTTGACATCCTGGAATGGGGGAGGATCATCTTACCAATCAAAGTTAGACAGCCAAGTTTCCCTCGCGTTCTTTGTCCACTCATCGGATATACCAAGTCCAGCCTCTGGATACGTGCCCTCGTACGTGATTGGAGCCAGACGTCCAAGTCTAATGAGCGTCTTCATGTCATCCAACACTTGCTCAGGCGTTTCGATCGTGAATGGTTGAGGTTGAAGAGGTCCTTTGAAAGCCATTTCGTTGGATAATTTCCGGCGTTCCAAGATGGCTATCAGCTATGGGGATCAGTTGGGGTTATATAGCTTCGATAGCACTGCTTGGGGTGTCCTGGGTAGTGCGTTCTGCTGTTTTCACGGACCAGCCTTACATTTGGTATTTCAACCGACTGCCATGGAACCCGAACCCCGACTTCGATTTCACAAGCTGTCGTCAGCGATGCGGAGTTGGCCTTCCACAGTGGAAATTAGAGTCGCATAAAAAACCATTTTAAAGATGGTAAAATACCTTCACTTTTACGATAATTCGAATAGTACTTTACCATTCAGACTATTTCCCATTACCATACTAACGAGGGTAAAAGACCTATTTTTTCGCAGTTTTCTACCATCTCAATGATGGTAAACGGTACCTCTCGTCAGCATTGTTCATGTAAGCTCAAGGGGCAACTGCAGGGACTTGCCCGACATTTGATCGTTTAGGCGGTGTCGATCGAGATGACCGCTTTGGATGAATTGACCAAGATGATTGTGTGGTTATCCAAATATGGCGATAAATGAATCGTGAGCGTCCGTTCCTGAATAGTCAATCAGGTCAAAATCGGACGCGTACTCCCCGAGCCCAATGGCTTCATGCCTCGCAATATTGGCAGTTGCAGGGACCTATGTCCCCATTCAATCCCGTTGGTTTCCGTGTGACTGTCCCCGCTGGGGGTAGGTGCCTTTCATACTTAAAGTAAGGCATTCAAGAAGCATACCGTCGTTCTGCAGTCTGGACCGGAATGTCTCCGACATACAACGCTCTGAAAGCCTTCTACGATTTCATTATCATCGGAGGTATGCCTTGATGTTGTTGGAGTCAAACTCAGTGTTCATCGCACACGCAGCCGGCAACGCTGGCGCTGTCCTTGGGGCGCGTCTTTCGGAGAATCCTCATTTCAGCGTCCTCGTGCTTGAAGCTGGCACCGAGTAGGTTGACTAGTTTTGGCGGGAATTACACTCTCAGTCTTCCAAACAGGGTGCCAAACGATCCAAATTGGAGCACTGTCCCATTATATGCTGTTCAACCGATCCAAACAGAGCACGTGTGGCGCTATTCCTCAGGTTGGGCTTAACGGGAGAAACGTCACATCGCTGGGTGGAAAAGTAGTCGGTGGGTCAACAAATGTGAGTGCGCGATTTTAAAGGATCCCGGCATACTCCATCAGATGTCCGTTCGGAGAGGCCTCATTTCGGCCCCCAAAATTCGAGTCTCCAGACCCCATTTAGGCCCTCTGACAAGTCAAACATTGCCAAAAAAACTCTAATTTGGCCCTCAAATCGATCAGACACACATATATATATTTTCGCTGGCAGCCCTTTGCGCCACCGCAACGATGCCTAGAACACCATTTGTACAAGAACATTGAATATTAGTGTTCACCCTGATTCAGCACACCCTCTTGCAAGCCCTCCTGAAACTTCTTAATTGCACGCTCAATTGTTCCGATGTTCATTTTGAGCCTTTCATGGCACGTATTGCCTCGGGAATGATTAATGTGCCAATCTGCAGCGAATGGAGAATCGATGGGATTGCATTGTGTATCCACGCAATGTTTCCGCATTGGTTGAGGGATAGAAGCACATATTCGGGCTTCAAATGCGCGAATGCAGCGGTAGGGGCACCATTCTGGTTTGGCACAAAGTTGGAGAACCGGCCAGCATCTTGTGACGACAAAGAAAGTGGCGGAAACAACTGTACGCTAAGATAGGATGGTGCCGACATAACACTTTCAGTGTACTGATGTGGGAGGTTTCGGCCATTATTTAGATAGATTATAATGACTTGGTGGTTAAATCATTGTCAGAAAGAGGCCGTGATGAAGTGGGACGGAAGGATGAGCACTGACCTTGCGCGAGATAAATTGTTCTCATGTGAAAGACAAAAACTAAATAACCCTTCTTGAGATCTAGGCCAGGCAAAGAACTAATGTTCCCATTCCCTAGTAGTATCTTCTCCTCAATTTGATGCAAATCCTCGGAGGTAAACCAGCGTTGTCGGGCAGCTGCGACTCTCTGTCGATGCATCAGTCTATGTCCCTCCATAAATAAATAGCGATGCTCCATACCGTCTCTGAGAGTTGATTGAGAGTTGCTCTATTTTTTTCACGGGTACTGGTGTTAGTATTTGAGTGCATCACTGTGTGTCGGACTTGTTGGGCCACTCCGCTTGTCACCCCTGCTGACATTTCATCGGCATTTTTCAGCTTTCACAGCTCAGCAGAAAGTGTTTTGAGAAAGCCATTATTTTGAGATTTGTGACCTTGAGCCTCATTCAAGGGCTTGGGGTTCCTCCATACCGCTTTGCGAGTGGCATCAGTTTGATGCTTCTCTTGGTACATAGTGAGCACTTCAAAATTGACAGTTGAAAATGGGTCAATAACCAAGAGGGGCCGCATCCTGAGAGACAGAACAAGCTTGGAGATATGATCGCCATGTGTTTCATGATGAAGAGTGGTAGAAGGATGTGAGGCAGGGATCATGGTGTCAATGCCCCAGTCACCATTGTCACTTGAACAGGAGTCAAAGTTCAGGATTGATTCAATCCATTTCTGTCAGGGACAGCTCCAAAAGTGGTGAGGTCCCAGCATGCGGGACTTGGTGGGATGAATAGCAGCTATGCATAGCGGCAGTCCTGTCGCAGGGTGAGCATCCCCGACCACTTAGTCTGAAGTGGGAATGTGAGAAGGAGGCTACTTCTTCGGTTCCCACTCCAGCTGTTATTATATACATGCGGGGTCGATCACGTGGGGTGTGCCACATCACCCTTGCACACAGCCATGGCTCTCCAGGTGTCTCCACGGGAGATCCTGAGAGGGTCTGCTGTGGCACAAGGTGAGCATGGCAGCAGTGACAGCGATATAGGGATGGTAAGATACAGGAGGGGGAATGGGCATGCACGCCAGTGATACATTGAACAGCAGGAAAGGTGGTCCATGTAAGAGAGAGAAAGAAAGAAAGGAGAAAGAAAGGGGAAAGGAAGAAGAAGTGGTGTGGAGCGGGGAAGTGGAGTGGGGGTCGGGCAGGGCATGTCAGGGTGTGCCCTGACAATTTCTCTGCTTGAGTAAGGTGGTCATCAGATGTGTCAGGAAGATCGCTCCTAGTGGCAGAATTGGTTCTTGTTAGGCAGGCTTGAGGGAGAAGTGCAGAATGTATACTACAAGCAGCAAAGGTGCTGAGAACGGTCCATGAAGCCTGGAGGTAGCAGAGCTTATGGAGGTTGTGGAGTGTCAGGGCACACACCCTGACTAGCCCGGACCTGCTACACTTCCCACACACATTCCCATGCCGCATGCTCCATGCACCACATGATCCAGCCCCAGATCCTGCCTTCTGGATATTCCTGGAAGTTTTCCTGATATGGTGGCCACTGTGGGAAGATGAGAAGTTAGCTTCCTTCTCATCTCCTTACCCACAGTAGGTTGTGCCCTGGATAGGGCTGGTTACACCAGTAGGCTGTGGACCATAGGGGAGGGTCATGGGACCCGGGAGTTGTCCCCTGACACAGAGGCAGAGTTGGAAGTCTGAGGAATATTGGCAATGGTTTTTACATGGAATGAGGTAACCAATGCAATGGACTTAAGCTGAGGTGGAGTCAAAGTCTGAGGTTGGGAACATGACAGGGTCTTGGAGTGGAGCTACGAGCGGTGTCCGAGTACAGGGTATGGGATGGCAGCAGAAGGTCATAACTTGGTGGAGGTTGCAGAAGAGGGATGAAAGGAGAGGAGGGTGGAGAGGAGTGAGGAGAGGGATGTGATGTCAGGTCTGAAGGTGGATATTGGAGTGGATGGGGATAGGGTAGGACTCTGGAGGTGATGAGGAGGAGGGTCCGGAAGTTAAATCAAGATCGGGTATGTACAAATATGACAAAATCAGCCCTAATCGCACATAGAATCCCAAACACATGTTCATTGACCTCAGTAGAGAGAGCCAAGGGACAAATGGTATGTTGGGGTAGTGTTCACAGTAGATATAGGTGAGCTGAATAATGGAATTGCACAATGTGATTAGGATTTTGTGGCATGAGTCCAAGACAAAGTGAATGCTTGTCTCATGGAATGGATGTTCGAGTATATGTTGGAAGTTTGGGTGGTCACAAGACCTAAAAGTTTGGATGTTCTGGGAATCAAACTGCAGAACTCTGCATTGGTCCAAGCTGGTGTGTTGCCATTACACCAAATGCCCCTTCTAGGCCAAGGTGGTTTCCAACAGTATATGTTGCCACCAATAGCCTAGGAAGTAGCAGCACCATAAGGCAAGTAGTAAGCAATTAGCATGAGTGAGCAACTGGTTTTGCCAGGCATCAATCAGCTTGCCAGTAATGAATAAATAGCTACTAAGCGATGCTGATTTCATGTGTTTGCCTATGTACTTGAGCATCTTGGCAGCATAGAGTTGTGCTGCAGTGTTGTCATCTTGACAATCTAAGTTTTGAACATCATGGTGGAGTAGTGGAGCATCCTGTGATGTTAGCTCAAGTAACCACTCATAGTTCATAGGATCTGGTCCAAGTGTGACACAATGAGCCCCAGTCATCAACTGATTATGGGCTGTCTTTGCTGCATGCTTTGCATCTTGAACTGCAACAAAAGGGTGGCATCCCTTCAGTAGTGGAATCTTGATAGTAAGATGTGCATGGGGGTGGGAAGGGGCAATAAGGTGATTCTCAGTTTTGTCTGTACTTTCAATGATTGCACTTTGATGCAACCTTTCAGTATTTGCACCATCACATGCAAGTGCAATTGGATGGCATCCTTCAGCTGCTAGCAGATCATAAATCAAACCATGACTTGAGATCTGCAGCTATAGCTTTTTGTCAGGGACGCATCCGGGGTCGAGGCGGTCCGGATGTAGCGTCCGGTGCTGAGGACCTCACGGGGGGTAGATCGGGCATGCGTACTGGCAGGCCCGATGCGGGACAGCGATCCCTGGCCACTTAGACTGAAGTGGGAATGTTGAGTTATTATTAAAAAGGGGAACTATGCTACTTACCTGAAGTGGGAATGTTGAGAAGAAGGTTACTTCTTCGGTTCCCACCCCAGGTGTGTTTATATAGATGCGGCTTGGGTCACATGAGGTCCGCCACGTCACCCCGCATACAGCCGCAGTCACCTGGGTGTCCCCATGGGGGATCCCGAGGGCGTATGCTGCATGCGCGTGCACTAGGTTGCGCCCTAGAGCCATCCGGGGTCGTCCGGGGCTAGGTGTGTCATGTGCGTGTCGTGGGCAGGTCAATAATACATAGATATAAGGGAAAGGTTGTCCATGTGAAATAGAAATAGAAATAGGAATAGAAATAGAAGTGGGAGAGGGATAGAGGGGGAAGGGATATGAAGGAAGGGTGCAGGGTGGGAGAAGGGGTACCAGGTGAGGTGGGTCCGGGTGGAGGCGGGTCAGGCGGGTGTGCCCTGACACTTTTGGTCCAAGGGCAACAACTGCCAGTGGTACTGGCGGAACCTAAAACCAGCATCAACCCAACAACCTTGGAGTTCAAGAAATCTATGGACTTACACATGGAAGGGGAATTCCACAGATGTGTCATATTGTCAGGGCACACCCACCTGACCCACCTCCACCCGGACCCACCTCACCCGGTACCCCTTCTCCCACCCTGCACCCTTCCTTCATATCCCTTCCCCCTCTATCCCTCTCCCACTTCTATTTCTATTCCTATTTCTATTTCTATTTCACATGGACGACCTTTCCCTTATATCTATGTATTATTGACCTGCCCGCGATGCGCACACGACACGCCTAGCCCTGGACGACCCCGGACGGCTCTAGGGCACAACCTAGTGTGCGCACATGCAGCATACGCCCTCGGGATCCCCCATGGGGACACCCGGGTGACCGCGGCTGTATGCGGGGTGACATGGTGGACCTCATGTGACCCAAGCCGCATCTATATAAACACACCTGGGGTGGGAACCGAAGAAGTAACCTTCTTCTCAACATTCCCACTTCAGGTAAGTAGCATAGTTCCCCTTTTTAATAATAACTCAACATTCCCACTTCAGTCTAAGTGGCCAGGGATCGCTGTCCCGCATCGGGCCTGCCAGTATGCACGCCCGATCTACCCCCCGTGAGGTCCTCAGCACTGGATGCTACGCCCGGACCGCCTGGACCCCAGATGCGTCCCTGACACATATCCATACCAACTCCGCCACCATTCCGGTCCACCTCCAGTCCGTCCTCCTCCCGCACCTCCACCATACCCTCCAGTACACCTCTGGTCCACCTCCACCTCCAATCTCCAGTACCTTCTCCAGTACCTCTTATCCTCACCTTAAACAATTATTAATATTTCTATCCACCCAATATTACTATGGACCTCCTAGGACCTCCGCCACCCCTGCAAAGGTTTTCCCACTCTCCCTTAGCTGTTGCTAATTCTACCCTTCACCTACCCACTCCACAATGCTCATTAAGGCAATTCTCTCATGAGCTTGCTGACCTGGCAAGTGGGTAAGTCCCTCTTGGGTTTTCCCTTTGTTTCCAATTTGTCACCCTTGTTCCTTTTGATTCCGGACCCCTCCTTATATACAATGTACCTAGTAACTTGTAACCTCAGTCCGAAATCGACCTGAATTCCCCCCAAGAGACTTTCCCTCTGCTAGATCCGAAATTAGGGACCCCCAGGACAACCAGCAATGGCACAGCACTCCGCCTGAGTCGCTGAGGCCAAGGTCCTTCCACGCTAAGTCTCCGATTCCACTCCAGAGTCATCTGAATCCGCCCAGTTCTAACAATGTGGGGCAGGGTGTGCATGCAGGAAGTGCAGCAGGTGGATGTTGTCAGGGCATACACCCTGACCTAGCCCATACCCACATCCACACCTGCACTCGCACCTGCACCCACACCCGCACCTGGCTGTTGCACTTCCCGCACACGCCCTGTGCCGGACGCTCAGTGTGGCTGGATGGCCCGGACCTCGGGTCTCAGGTCTCATGTGACTTCCGGATATCTCCGGAAGTTTTCGATATATTGTGGCCACTGTGGGAAGATGAGAAGTTAACTTCCTTCTCATCTCTGACCCACAGTAGGATTGTGCCTTGGATTGGGCTAGCCAGACTTGAGGCTGTGGGCCATAGGGGAGGGTCATGGGGACCTGGGAGTCGTCCCCTGACAGATGTGGGTCCAGATGTGGGTCCAGGTCCGGGCAAGTGCCCTGACATTTGGGAACAATTTGCTGATGACCTGGCTTGTGACTATGGCAGTAATGTTCTGGGGCCAATGAGTGCTGCTGCCAAAGCTTGCACATTACTGGACATCCAGCACCTGCTCCAACAATGAGGGAAGCCCACTGCAGATTTTGGACTCCCTAACATTGCAATCCACTCTGCTGAAATCCTTGCTCAATTGGACTACTTCCTTCCCCAATGTTCATTATTACTGATGAAATGGTGGCTGGCTTTTCTTCCAATCAATGCCACATATATGACACCCTTTGGAACGCTATATCGAAACACCCCTTCCAGCCCCAACCTCTTCTTTCTCACTGGAAGAGCAGGAAGGGGAAAAACACATGTTTTTGAAGCCCTAATTCATCTTGCTTGAGGTCAAGGTGATCTCCCATTTGTGGTTGGAGCCACTGCTTTAGCAGCCTCCAATTATGACTGTGCCTGGACAGCTCACAGTGGTTATATGATTTCAGTGGTTAAAGACAATGGGGATGTCATTTCTTTTTTAACTCCCCATTGTAAAAGAGCTGACTTGATTCAGTGTGCTCCATTTCTGATCATTGACAAAGTGGGATTATTAATGTTGCTGTGATTGAGGTGATTGACTTGGTGTGTCAACTTATCTGTTGAAATCAACTGGAAAAATTGTCATAACAATTGGGGACTTTTGACAAGTCATGCCTGTGATCAAGCATGGCTCAGAGATGGACATATATTGGGCCTCAGTGCTGTCTTGGCAGTGGTGGCCAAAATTCACCATACTTGAACTATTGCAACCAATATGCAATGCTGTAGATCCTGAACTAAGCAGATTTGTAGACTCAGTCAGAGATGATTTCTCGCAATCTTGGATTGTCCTTGACTCCTTTCCTTGCACTGATGACCTTGATGTGGTGCAAATTTCCTGTTCCCATTTCACATTTTGTCAGTCCCCCTACTGCTGTCCAACAGGCTTTCCTTACTCCCCTGAACACATTGGTTGATGAGCTTAATGAAGCATTATTGCAATGATTGCCGAGTCCTTTATCATTGATGATGACAGGACTCTGAATGACTCTCACTGTCACATCCCCAGACTACTTGGCGCTCATTGTTAAAGAAATGGGTTAAGGGCAATCCATTTCTTTCCGTCCTTATAGACGACTTAGAATCGTCCACCTCATGTATGTAGGGCGGTTTAGTCGTGTAATTAGAATTGTCCGATGGCTGTGGAGCTTTTGACAGAAAGCTGAGGCCTTGCGGTGAATGGGAGTCTGTTACGACGGATACTTGGCGCTTGTTACGTGAGCATACTGTGCATGGGTGTATAGGATCACAGGTTGAGAGAATGTCCAGAGCGGGACTAGTCGAGGACATAGGGCTAGCGGGTACTTGGCGCTCGAGAGAGCGTACCGGTAGCGAGTGAGATAACGACTCCTTGAGGGAGCTTCCTGAGAATTGGTTGACGGGTACTTGGCACCCAATTGGGTGTACCGGCAATGAGTGAAATTCTAGCTCCTTGAGGGACCTGCCAGAGGCTGGGTTGACAGGTACTTGGCACCCAGACGGGCGTACCAGCAACAAGGTATGAGACCGTTCAACTGGCAGACGGTCTGTATATGTGTCAACAGGTACTTGGCGCTCGTAAGAGCGTACCGGTGACGGAGGGGTTAGTCGATCGTAGGTCGAACGACACATGGTGGGTTCGACGGCTACTTGGCGCTCGCAAGAGCATACCGGCGACGAAGGGAACGGGCTTGTATCGAATATCCATCCATCCGTAGAATTAACCAGATGCTCACCGTAAGGTGAGACAGACGTGAACCCAGTACCTGGGCGAACGATGTGAGTCGTAACAAAAGGTGATTGCACATACCTGAGTTGAGTCACGTGCGAACTCGCTGATCCGTGGCTAGAGTCGTCAACCTCGGCAGGGATGACCCATATAGACAGTGACTGAGACATACACAATCTTACACAGACGATACAGTGTTGGCACAAGGAGGTTTACAGATGTTGCACAGAAGAGGATGGTGTGTTATTTGTTAGGTTCTGTCATATCCATACAATCCCGACCTCCGCTCCGGGCTCCCGGAACTCCGAACTCCGACTTCCGGAGCCCTACTTCCCTTCCGTCACCTTCTCCTTGCTGACTCCCAAGAGGTTATCCCACCTCCGGCTCCATCACCACCTTCGGTCCGACTCCGGAACATTCCGGGTCCGACCCCAACCTCGATACCTTCCAGACGAGTACGCAAAACCTATGCTCCCGACTCCGGACCTCCGCTCCGGTATCCCGTTCGCATCTCGTCTCCGGAACCTCCAGTCTTAGCTCCGACCTCGGACTTTGACCCCACCTCCGCTTATACCCATTGTATTGGTTAGCTCATTCCATTTAATTACCTTTGCCAATATTCCGGA